GGGAAGCTTCGCTGAGAGGAAGGCTGTGAGGAATCCCAGCATAGGCACAGGTGCTGCAAGCCTGGCTTTTTGGAGGGCAGGTAGAGCTCTGGCATCTCCTGTCACAGGAAGTGCCTTCACAGATGGCTTCTTAAGAAAGGAAGGGCCGAAAGACAACTTGCTTCTGGTCTGCAAGTCATAGGAAGTGCAGAGAGTGCAGCTTCTTGGGTGTGGCTGGCTCCTAGCCAGGCCCCAGAGCTTGACATGCGTCCCCGTACAACATGGTTGGGCTCCAGGCACTCCAGCTGAGGGCTGTGCGGGTTCAGCATCAGCCGGCCTCAACTTGCCTGATGGAGCCACCTGTGATGACTGTCGGAGACTGAGTGCCTGGCCTCCCTGCTCTGTCCTGGGCAGAGGAGAGGCAGCTGGGTGTCAGGATATCTTTGCCAGTGAAGGGAGGTGGCCGTGGCTTTCCGCTCACCAAGGATGATGACAGAAGTGGGTATGGCGGCAGAGCCTGCACTTGCCACCTTCAGAGCGTGTGTTGATGGGGCGTCGGTACCGGTGTGCAGCTGCGACTCCTGCCTGCACATGTGCCTCACTGGCTTGCACACAACTGCAGGGGACCGGGCAGACTGTCCGGGCCTGCAGCCTGGGCGTTCCAGAGTGAGTCCTCTGTACGATTCTCCAGGAGACCTCGGATAAGAGTGTGATCGAGCTCCAGCAGTACGCCAAGAAGAACAAGCCGAATCTGCACATCCTGAATAAGCTACAGGAGGAGATGAAGAAGCTGGCTGAGGAGAGGGTGAGTACACCCTGGGGGCCAAGGGCCATCTACTCTGGCTTGTGTGGCAGCCACACCTGGCCTCCCCACAGTGGGGGACTAGCACCATTGGACCCCAGGAATCACAAGCCACACAATCTTCCCCACCTGCCTCTCCCTATCTTCTCTCTCTCCCTTTTCCCCTCTGATGGGAAGGGGGCACCCAACCCCGGTGGCAGCTGTGGAGGGAAATCAGGTACCTGAGAGTCTGTCATTGATTCCTCATGCCCTTGAAAATGCCTAAAACTCCCCCTCTCCAGTGAACCCTGAATTCTTCCAAATGAAATTTGCCTTTCCTTGAGCCTCAGAGTTGATGATACATAAAAACCCTTTATTTTTAGTTAGACAGCTGGCAGCCATGCCCTGCGGTCAGGTGAAGCCCAATTTGGAGCAACCATTTGAGGGCAGGGAGCAGCACACCTGCCAGGTTCCATGTACCCCACCCTGTCCCCCTCTCTTCCCACAGTCATTCTGGGTAAAGCAAACTGCCTGTCCAGGCCTTTTTCTTCCTTAGCAATTTTGTGAAGGATGATGATAGATTATGGTATTCACAAGGTCCATAGAAACAATGGAACTTGAGTCATGAAGGTGAAAGTTCCTAAGGCCCACCACCAGTTCCACCACCCTTAGAGGGGCACTCGAACAGAGACCATGGTGGTTTGTTAGTTGGGCTGACAGTACTGGGGTCCCCTGTCCGCAGGCACTGTGTACTTATGATCCCATCTCGGGGGGTCTGTGCTTGACCCTGTTTTTTAGCTGTGGTATTAGCTCAAGAGTTTGGCTAAGCAGACTGAGGTTCTGGGTTTTCAGACTGGTCTATATACAGCTCCTCAGAAATAGGTATCTTGCTGTCTCTGTGTCCTTTTCAGTTCCTTCACCTGCCCTCCGGTGGGGCTGGGCCTTTTCCTACCTGAGCTCTGAGGACCACTGAGGATCACTTAGCCTGTTCCTGATTGGGGGAAGGACTGTGGGGCCCAGAAGGCAGTAGGCCTCATGGGCTAGGAGGCCCAGGACACACTGGCCTCTGGCTGCAGGGGAGGACCTGAGGCTCCAGGTCCAGGCTGTGGCAAGCAAAGGCCAGGGGTGGGGAGAGAGACCCACTCCAGGCAGATGAATCTGGGCTTGGTGACTTCATGTGTCTTTCACTTCTTTCTCTACCCTGCCTTTCAAGCGTCCCCTTTTTCCCCAGCCTGGCATCATACTGCAGTGGTGCCCCTGGGACTCTAGAGTCCCTCCTAGCACTGGTCTTTTGGGGTCATCCTCCAACACGTCCCCTTCCTGAGCTACTTTCCCCTTGCCAACTTGCTGACATCCCTGATCTTTGTTGTTCTTCCAGGAGGAGACACGTAAGAAGCCCAAGATGACGATTGTGGCATCTGCCCAGCCTGGTGGCGAGCCCCTGTGCACCGTGGATGTGTGAGGGGCAGTGTGGAGGTGTGGGGGCACCACTTCAGTCATGCACCCCTCACTGCAGCACCAGCCTCCAGCCTCAGCTCCCCCATGCGGTCAGTTTGTCTAAGTGCCAGATCCAGAAGGGTGGCGGCTCTGGTGCACAGGCAGCCATGGTCACCCAGGACACATGACAAGCAAGCACTTTCTCTTTGAAAGTTGTTCAACATCTGTGAACGGATGCGTGTTTCAGGATCAACTTCAGAGTAACATGCAGATGGAAGGTGATCAGTTGTAAAGACGCATTAGAGCCCTGCTTGTATGTACTTGCTCCCAACTGTTCATGAAAGTTTTGATGCATCTGCAGTGCATAATGTGCACTGACAAGAAACGACACTGGGGTGACAGATGCATTGAGAAAGTGACAGCCAAGTCCCGTGGGCTGCAACTGGTGGTGCTGGCAGCAGCCTCTGGGATACGCATATGCCCAGGACTCCAGTGGGACCCAACCCAGGAGCCTGGTTGGGAAGGCACGCTTGAGCACACTACCTTGGCTCCCATTTTCCCTTTTTCTCTGAAAAAGTCATTGTTACAATAGTTAGGATTATCTCAGACTTTTTTGATTTAAAATGAACACAATTTTAGCATCAGAAGTAATTTTCAGAGATTACAGGCAAAGCCTCCAGTTGATTCTTCTTTAGCCAGTATGAACTTCCACCAAGGTCACCACCTGGCTCCTTACACTGCTCTGCTTCTGGACTGTGTTTCATTTTCCTAATTAAGTCTTAATGCCCTAAAAACATGGCTTCTTAGACCCTGAAGCTCCCCTCACCTTTGCTGCCTCTGGCAAGTTTTTACTAACATTTTTTGCACAGTCAGATCTGTTTATCCACCTGTTGATTTTTAAAGCATTTATGATATTTTAGCATTTGGAAAGAAACGTTTGCAGTGAGTAGTATGTAGATATGGAGTAATGTAGCGAATATAAACAGAATTAAGGCATTTTAGCAAATTTGACTTATTTGAAAAGTGCAAACGAGGACCTTTGGTGCAATCCATTTTTGATCTGCCAGCTGAGCTACCCTGGGAGCACGTCAGGTAGCCCGAGGACAGGTGTGAGGTGGAGACGTTCCTCCCATGGGGGATGTGTGTGGGTTGTCCCCCCTACGGGCAACGTGTTGGTGACCAGCTGTCAGCTCCCTGTCCCCAGTGCCTGTCTGGGTGCCTTGTGCTTTGGCGCACCTTCATGGGGTGCTGCAGCAGGAGCCCTGGGTCGGGCTGCATCGTCAAGTTGTGAGGGTATACATGCCCTCCACCATGTACCCACAGATGCTGTTGATGATGGTTGTTTTCTGGAAGACAGAATGTTGACTGCGTGGGCCACCCACGGTGTATCCCTCCCTCATCACCTGTGTGACTGAGGTTGGCTTCTGTGTTGACCTTTAAAAAACAAAATCCCCAAATCAAGTTGTTGTAATTAGACACTTGTTTTTGTCTTGCCTTCTGTCTGCAGCTGTGAATAATCATTTGACCCTGACTGTTCCCTTAAAACGGCCAGATGAGTCCTGGTGAAGCAAAGCTTCGTGCACACATTTCCCCAGAGGTGGGCTTAGAGGGGCAGCCTCCTAGAGGCCGATTGTGGTCTGGTGCTGCTGCATGTGTGCTGTGTCCCTGCGTATGTGGTATGTGGGTGCAAGTCTTGTGTTTGCACACAGGCCACGCTGCAGTGGCAGAGGGATGAGTAGAGCTGCTTCTGTGCAGCACAGCCTGTCCCGTACCTCCCAGGCAGCATCCGGGCCCCAGCTGTGAGGGTGAGCCCGGATCACCTGAAAGCATAAATCAAAACTGTCCACAAGGGAACGGCTGCCGTTTCTTTCCTCAAACTGCAGGAGTTCGGGGGGCTTCAGTTGGCCAGAACCTCTCCTGGTGCCTCTAGAGGGCTGGGGTAGGGCATCTGCCTGCATACAGCTGCTCCTAGCAGTAGCTGAGCAGCATCCTGACAAGTCCCCCTGGTTCCTTCCTAAGTCACCATGGTGGGTGGGCTAGTGTCTCTTCAGGGCTCAGGGCCAGGTTTGAGATGGTAATGAGGTTTAAGAGGGAAGCTTCACTGAGTCAGTAGCAGGGGACAAGCCCTGTGTCCACCCAAGTTGGGATGGGCAGGGGCAAGAGGCTGGCTCTCTACCCCAATTCGTAGAGTTGGTGTTTGGCTATAAAATCCTCCATCTCTGCTCCTTCTCCTTGGTTTAAAGCATAAAACCTGAGATTCTGTCAAAAGGCTAATAATGCTGCAGTGACAGCCCACACACCTTGTGAGGATGCTACTGCCTCTTGTGCTGGGTTGTGCAATGGTGCTAGGAACACTGTCCTGGCAAAAGCTGCCAAGCCATACTTGCCACTGGCCCAAGGGCCGGAACAGCTCCACAAACCTGCCGGGAGTCGGCCCCAGCCCCATAAATGCCTGGCAGATGAGGAGCTGTGGCTTGCTGTGCAGGCAGGACAAGCATAGGTCCTCCTATACCTGTTCCTTTGTGTCTGTGCCAAGTTCCTGGGCCCATCACAGAAACAATCCTTGATTCAGCAACTGTTTATTACGGCCCCTGAGGCCCAGCTGTACAAAAAAGGATAGGTAAGGATGGGGTGGGGCCCACCATGCCTCTCTAGCCAGGCCCTGGGCACTGAGGGACGGGGAAGCCAGGCCTTGTGCCTGCTGCACATCCTTGGGCACAGGCAGGGACCACCAAGGAGCCTCTCTGCTTCTACCCCAGTGATTCTGGAGGGGGCAATTTTGGAACACCTGGCATCTGCTAGTCTGAGTTGGTAATGGGCCTAGGAAGAAGAGGGGGCCTCAGGTTGCTGGGGTATGCCATCTGGGGGCCCTGGTGGTGATGGGGAGGGTGGAGGCAGGGCAGGAGGGTCCTGGGCCCCTGCACTGTTGGGGTGTTCCACTCTCTCGAACAGGATAAGCATCTCACAGTGCGGGGTCTGCGGGAACAGGTCCACAGCCACAGCCTTGACTGGCCGAAAAGGGGTGCCTTTCACACGGTTAGAAGGCGCCCTACAGAGGCTGTGGTGGGAAGGGGTGTCCAAGTCAGAGGCACGTGGGTCTGGCCAAGAGGCTCCTGTGGGAGGGGAAGGACCCTGGCCCGCCCCTGCACTGCTACTTACTCCACAAAGTTGCCCATGGCTGCCCGGGGGTTGCAGGAGACATATAGGAGCCGCTTCAGGTTTGCAGCTCTGCGGACAGCCAGGATCACCTTGGAATCTGGGGACGGGCAGGTGTGGGCTAGGTCACCAAGGCCAATGCCCAGAGGGCTCCTTCAGAGGATGGGGGACCCTGGAGGGTGGGCAGCAGATACTACTGACCCTCTCTTCCCTGTACCCTCCCCTGCCAAAATGGAGGCCACTCACGCAGACCGGCGCGAGGGGGATCCAGGATGGCAACAAGCTGCTGGGCGGCCAGTCTGCTCACCAGGGTGGGCACAAGGTCCTCTGCCCTCCCACAGTGGAACTCGACGTTGCTCAGCTCTGGAGGATGGCACGGTAGGTCTGTCAGAGGGCCCAGGACACCCTGATCCCCACAGGGCCCACCCAGCTGCCTGAAGTCCCTGATCAGAGGCAAGCCCCAAGAGAGGGGACAGAGGCGCTTTAGGAAAACCCACTGGCCGAGGCCATAGCCATAGGACTCGCAGGCACAAAGTAGGTCTACAGGAAGCCCCTCTGTCCCCCTGGCAAGGACTCTAGGAGCTTGCTCTTCAGGACTAGGGCCGATAGTAGATCAGTGGCTTAAGGTACCACTGCTGCCCCTCAGATCCCCAGGGCCTGCTGCCTGCTTAGCGGCTCTGATGCTTCTCACCATTCATGCGGGCATTCACCCGGGCATCCTCCACAGCTTCCTGGCAGAGCTCAATCCCAACAACCCTCTTCACCTTCTGAAACGGCAAAGAGAACAGACCCATGGCTCCCACCCAGTAGGCTTCCTGGGGCAAGGAGTGGCACCAGGGTTGGAAGAGGATCTGGGATCCTAGACAGGATGGTGATTTAAACTCGCTGAGCCTTCAAGCCAGGGTTCACCAGGGGCAGGTGTCAGCACATGGGTGGGCTCGGTGGGGAGGGCTCACCCGGGCCAAGGCCAGGCCAATGGTGCCAGTGCCACAGCACACGTCCAACACTGTGCTCTCTGCATCCAGCTGGGCCCAGTCCTGGATGACCGTGTAGAGCACCTCAGCCGCTGGGGTATTCACCTGGAAAGGCCCGGTGCCATTGAGATGTCAATAGCTCTGCTTCCCCAGGTCCAATATGCCCCACTAAAGCAGCCCCAGCAGCTGGCTCCAGTGCCCCCCACCAGTCCCTCTCTTGAGCCACACACCCCTGGGTCCACTGCCTCCTGCGTCTAGACTTCTGTGGCCCTGTTCTCAGCTCCCTCACCTGTCAGCAGTGCTGACCCTCTTCAGTTGTGGTCCTTGGCCTGCCTGGCTATCCACACAATGTTGGGTAATCTCACGCCATCTCCTGGCTTTAAAACCAACCCACTCCAGTCCCCGAGTGTTAGACTCGGGCCCCAATGCACCTGCCTTCCTCACCCCAGCACATGGCACCTCCATCCTCCCGGTGTCATACCAGAGACCCTGGCCCTACCCCAATTCACTCCTGTATCCCACATCTGGCCTCTAGCAGAGCCTACCAGTCCTGTCTCCAAAACAGGATGCTTGCAGCCTCTTCACCTGCCCCAACCTGTTGCCATAGTCTCCCTCTGCTTCTGCCCTTGCCCCCACATTCTTCTGGCAGCAGGGAGAGGAAGCCTTTAATGGTGTCATCCTGGCTCAGAGGCCACCAAGGCCTCCCTCCTGCTACACTCAGAGGCAACCTCCTGAAAAGGTGAGGTGAGCTGCGGAGTAACAGCCGTTCCTCACCATTCCCATGAAGAAAGGATCATCAACACAGTTCACCAAATTGCTACAAGGATTAAAAAACCCAGTTGCCTTTGAGTCAACTCCAATTCACAGTGACCCCTTATGTTTTAGAGAAAAACTGTGCTCTGTAAAGTTTTCAACAGCCAATGTTTTTCAGAAGTAGATTGCCAGGGTTTCTAAGAAGCCTCCAGGTGGACTTAAACCTCCAACCTTCAAATAACCTCCTTACCTCACAGCCCTTGCCCTGCGGTTCCCTTCCAAGATCTCTGCAAGGCTAGCCCCTTATCACTACCCTAGCTCACTCCATCCCCCTCCTGTCCTGAGACTGCATCACAATTCCCTCCATGTACCCATGTATCCACAGGAGCTTTGGGCTACCTGGAAGAAGGCGTTAGGAGAGATCTGGAAGGTCAACCCCAGCAGATCCTCATGGATGTACCGATCCCCAGCCACATGCTCCAATGGCAGGCCCTCCTGGCTGGGAGTCTTTCTGTGAGTGGTGGAAGCAGGTCTGTCAGCATCACCAGCCCTAGCAGGGCCCGACCTGCCCCCACCTAGAGCTCCTCACCGCTGTCCCTCCTCCACGAAGTATAGGCAGTTCACACCACTGGCCTTGCCTGGCCCCTCCATGAAATGCTTTGCAAGGGAGGTCTTCAGCCCTGCCAGCTCCTCTTGGCTCAGTTTCTGGAGTTGGTGGCAGAAAAGGCCTTGTCAGACTGTGCTGCTGCCCACCCAGCCTGGAAGCCCCCACCCTGCAGCAGGGCCATTCCACGTGGTACCTGGGGATGGAAGTAAGCAATGGCCATGGCCTGGCCACGGCGGCTGGTGCGCACGGTGAGCTGCTTCCAGTAGCCAGCGTACGTCTCCGGGTTATACGCAGAGTATGGGGTGGACCTGTGGGAGCCAAGAGTGGCCCTGAACCAGTGTGAAGTCCTTGGCGTCTGCCTACGAGGAATAAGGAAGCAGCCTACCCGGCTCATCTCCTCCAGCCACCCCAGAAACCACACCCACCGCCTGGCCAAGGCAGGATCCTCACCTCACCAGCCCAGTCAAAAGTCCTCACCGAATGAACTCCTGGAAGGCCCTCACCACCTGCTTGGTGGCCTCTGGGATGTGCACGGTGTCAAAGGGGGCTGCCACGGCACAGGTCCCGCCCTTGTACCTGCCCAACCGGCAGCCGACAGTGTTGTCCGCCCCATCTACCCCGACGCCGACCAGAAACTCACACTTGTTACGATACTCGGTCTGCATGCGAGATGGTGGTAAGAGAGGGACAGAGAGAGACGTGCCTGACCTCACCCTGGCTGTCCAACACTCGCCAACGGCGGGGAAACGGCAGCAAGTGAGACCTGGGCTTCTCCATAGGGCTGGTGGTCAGGGGACAAGACCAACACCTAGTAATTATGTGATGAGCTCTGGGAAGAAACGCAAAGCAGGGAAAGGGATCGGGGGGACAGACCAAAGGAGCTTTTTAAAGTGCACAGGATGAGCCAGCCTGACCTGTAGAGGTGACGGCCTGACCTCCTCCAGTGGGCAGCAGGCTTTGTTGTGCTTGTGCCTCTGTGTGAGCAGCCACGGCAACAGGGCACGGTTGGTGCTCCCAATTTCCCTGCGTGATGAGATTGGGCTGCAGTTGGACTCAGCCCACTACCTACTGCCCAGCCCTGGCCATGCTCCAAATGCTCAGGTGCCCGTATGCCTCCCTCAGGACCTCACTGTCCCCACTGGTAACACAGGGGTCTTACTGCTTCACTCCCTGAAAGTGTGCAGACCCTGTGGTGTGTCCTGTCCAATGCACAGGATAGGCCAAGCGAGTAGGTGCCAGGGTGTGCCCTGAGTCTGCACTCACTTGGCGAGCCTTTGCAGAACCTGCTCACATTCCAGCCGCTTCTGTTCAAGCTGCTCGGCATAGGGCACGGTCCAAAGTGGGGTCACCACATCAGCGATGTGTGTGGCTGGCGGCTCACCCTCACCCTCGCGCCGCCTCTTCTTGGCCATTGGGTCAGCCTTGGGCCGTGCTAGGCGCACACTAAGTGGGCGGCCCTTCCAGAGAGCACCATGTAGCACGCGCAGAGCCTTGTCCCGTTCGGCTGCGCTACGGAATGTCACAAAGGCACAAGGTGGCTGACCAAAGAGCTTGGTCTTGTGGGGCTGCAGGCCAAAGCGGCCCAGGAAGCGCCGAACATCGCTGAAGCTGGCGTGGCGAGGCACATTCTGCAGCTCCAGCTTGAAGATCTCTGAGGTGAACAGGTCTTCCCTGATGTAGCTGTAGAGTCCAGGCCCGGCAACTGCAGCCACTCCTGCCCCCTCCTCCTCCTGGGAGGCTGGGGCCATGGGGCTATCTAGCGCACGGCTATTGTCCTGGCCGCAGCCCTCCATGGGGTCCTGTGTAGGGACAGGCAATGGCTGAGCTGAGGGCTCGACCCTGAGAACTGACCATCCAACTCCCTACAAGCTCCCTCTTCCCACACTCAGGCCTCCATACTGCACACAACACTCAGCCCCTCATCTCCAGCCTCTCTGATCCCCACAGTTAACTCCATCCCCATCTCCTTCCCTTCCCCATCTCACCGCCATTCCCATCTCACCGGGTTTCCTACCCCCACCCGGACCGCCCTTCAGTTTACTTCGTTTTCAAGCGTGTCACTCATCGTTGTCAGCCACCTGGACTGGGGGTCCTATGAGGGCCGCCTCGTCTCGGGCCTGGCTTATGGGAGGCCCTAGGTGAGCGGAAGTGACACCGTGAGGCTGCTCCCCGTCCACCGCGGGCGGGGAAGGGACTCGAACCCTCACTGCTTAGGTCCGGGTCTCCGGCGTGAATCTGCAACACCCACCCGCCAGTGGCCCGCGCCGGCCTGTTCTCCTAGCCCGCCGCTCTCCCATCAGCCAGCGCGAGCCGCCGACACCGCGCGTCTCTATTGTCCTGGCTTCCGGCTACGTCATCACCAGTAGCCGGCTACGACCCTTAGGCCCCTACGCGAGTGCAAAGGGCGCGCGCCTCAGGGCGGAAGTGAACGCGGGGGCCGCCGGGAGTGCGCGCTCCCGGGGCGGGCATGCGCTGCGCGCGTTTTGGCGGGAAGCGCGGGGCGGGCTGGACAATAAATGTCCGCTTCTGGAGTTAATAAAGCTTCACTGGTTTTGAATCGCGGTGCGTTTCCCGCCGCCGGGGTCAGGGGTCGGGGTTCGGGTCGTGGGGCGGAGTGAAAAGCGGTCGGGCAGGAGGCGCCGGCGCCAGACGCGGAGGGAAGGAGTTACGACTAGCCGCTGAGAGGCCCCGGAGCCAACGACGACCGAACCAGTCGAGCTGCCGCCGCCGCCGCGCCCCCATGGCGGCCGCCAAGGTGCGGTCCGACCCGGGCGGGGTCGGGGCGGGAGGGAACCGAGGGGCCCGGGCCGCTATCAGCGGCCACGTGGGCGGCCCCGCGCTATCGTCGCCAACCTCCGCCGGCTGGTGGCCGCTGGGCCTGGAGGGCTCGGGGCCTCTAGGGAGCGGGGTCGGGGCTGCAGGGACCGCGGCCTAGAGGCCCGGGTCGCGCAGGGCCCGGGGGCTTTGGGAGCGGCTGGGTGACCTTGGGGCGGCCCCGGCGAGCCACAGGCGGGCCAGGTGGCTGCCATTTCCCGGTGGAGCGTCCCCCGTTGATGAGAACGAGGGACGGGCGTCCGATTTCCTCTGGCTCGGCCCGCTTGCGGGATTCCCATCACCACCGTGCATCCGTCTTATGTCGCCCACGCAGCAATTCATTCATTCGGTCCTCCTGCCCCGAACCGCCACAGGCCTCTGATGGCGGAAGCTCGCGTTTCGGCTGGGGACACCGGCCCTTGGATGCGCTGGCCCAGTGTGGCGGCGGCTTTGTTGGCCGCCTGTGTCTGCTCGGGTGAGCTGGCTGCGGCGGAGCCGCAGTGCTGGCGAACCAGGGAAAAGAAGCTAAAGGATTTTATTTTGTCTTCCGGCTTGGGTTTGGTAGTGCAATCTCGGTGTTTCTTAACGGATTTATAGCTCACCAAATCACGTGTTCTGTAAAACTTGAACCTAAAACACGATCCTTTGTGCCCTATAATTCTCTCAATTGGACCCAAGTCTTATGATTTATATTTGTACAATATGTTTTTCGCCCCCATCAGAAAGTTTTTATTTTTAAAAGGGGTCCATCTATTACTCAAATTAGAGAAACACTAGGTGTAAAAAAAGTGTTGACGTGGAGTCGGTTCTGACTTACGGCAACCCCCTTGTGTGTCAGAGTAGAACTGTGCTCCATTGGATTTTTAATGGCTGGATTTTTGGAAGTAGATGGCCAGGCCTTCTGAGGCTCCTCTGGGTGGACTTGAATTGCCAACCTTTAGGTTAGCGGCAGAGTGCTTAACGGTTTGTGCCCGTCAACTGACTTCAATTACAGTCGTGTCATGTGTACATTCTGTGAAATAGGACGTTAAGTGATTTGGATGTTGTGTGAATACCATATTATGTACAGGCAGTTCCCGAATTATGAATTAGTTCCATTTCTGTATCTGTCTTTTAAGTCGAATTTGTACATAAGTCAGAACAGTTAGATACGGTTTGTATCTAACGTTAGTCAGTCAAATGTTTTTCTTAATATGTAGTATATAGTGTACGTTTCTATGCATAAAAAAAGTTAAACAGTTCCAGATACATTAAAACATCTTGAATGTAACACGTAGTAATAATAGTGTTTTGATCACATCGCATAGTAGCGCTTATTTGTTATTACAAACCGTTGTGTGTGCTTTAATATAGTAGTCTTTATAGAGGTTGGCCTGTAGCTATGGGTGTAACTATCAAGATATATGTATTATAGGTTATATATGCTTTTAGATGCCTGGCAGCACAGTTGCTTTGTATACAAGAGACACGAGATAACACGTGTTGCATGTGGGAAGCTATTGCATTGGCTACGTTTTCTCTATGTCCTGTTCTCCAGTCGGAATTTCTGAACTCTGTTATAACTTTATGGGACTATAAGGTTATATGCTGTTGGATGTTGCCAGAACCGACATTATGTGGCACCTGACTGTACATTCTAACTAAGCATGATCATCTTGATTTGATTTTTTCATCAGTAACACAAAGGGTTATCTATGTAGATTGTAAATCATCCTATTTACATTTTTTACTGGTTCCACTCTGAGTGCTATACCATACACTCCACTAAGCTACAAAGGCCATGTTCATTTCATATATTGTTCCCTCTTTTTCTTTCTCCGCACAGTATCTTTTTTTTGATTTATCAGTTTAGTTTTCCAAGGCAAGGTAAAATTGCTGGCAGCTGTGAATTCCATGTAAATACTAGCAGTTCTGTAGTAACATCTGTTTTTTTTTACTTTTTAGAGGAAAAAGGCCAACCTTTATGACGCATTCTGGTTACATCTTTTCTCTTCTAGTAAGCAAGAGCATGAATATTTTCAATCCAGAAAGAACTCAAAGGGTTACTTTTTGCTTTAAGAGTGACACGCTCATTGAGGCCCTCTTCAGTCCCTCCTTGTGCTCTTTAATGCTTGCACTATCTGCATTATACAGATAGGTAACTGAGGCTCAGAGAGATGAGTGGGCTTCAGCCAGCCACTCAGTAAGTGAGTTGGCCACGTTTTAGGAGTCCCGGTCAGTCTGCCTGCCATTTGATTGATGCTTATGCATCTGAGGAGGGGGCTGAAATCCAGCGTCTCGCTCATATGCTCACCTGGTGATTCCGTGGAGCTGGGCTTGAATGCACACTTTTCTTGGTGTGAAAGGCTGTGGGCTTAAATTCCTGCGTTGGGATGAGGCCTGTCCTCATTTGGAAAGCTTTGTGTCAGTAGGGGTGCCCATTGTGGGCATTGGTGAGCTAGCAGAGTCACCTCCTTGAATACTCCCTCTACAGGATTCTCATGAGGACCGGGACACCACTGAAAATGTAGACGAGTCCAACCATGACCCCCAGTTTGAGCCAATAGTCTCCCTTCCTGAACAAGAAATTAAGACGCTGGAGGAAGATGAAGAAGAACTTTTTAAAATGTAAGTAGACTGATGTTGCCCCAGAAATAGGTATATTTAGTGTAAGGTTGTAATTGTGGTATTTTATGGGTGTCAAGGATGTTTCATTGGACCTAAGCTATTTGAAGAAAACCAAACCCGTTGCCGTTGATTCCAACTCATAGTGACCCTATGGGACAGAGTAGCATTGCCTCATAGGATTTCCAAGGAGCAGCTGGTGGATTTGAACTGCAGACCTTTTGAATAGAAGCTGAGCTCTTAACCACTGTGCCACCAGGGCTCCGTTTGAAGGAACGGCCCGGAATTGTGCAATGAGTGATCCTGTGTGGAAGATCAAAGCTGCCCTTAGTATTCATTCATCTGACAACATTTTATTCGGTGCCCAGCCCTCCCTGGTGGCTCATCACTGCTACTCTGTCCACTGGAGCTTAACTCCCCAGCTCCCCTTCCCTTGGTTGAGCAGGGAGTCTATTTTGCACTTGGACCCCTTTGGCAATCTGAAGCTTATGAATGCCCGACTTAAGATAATGTTTTTAGAAGCACAAAATAGTGCCTGGAGTTACAGAGGGAAATGGGTGATGTTGGAAGCAAATGTGATACATGTGCTTCTCGTTTGTGTTTTCAGCGAGAAGCCCCAGTGGCAGGTATGGTTTTGAAGTAGGGGTGATGGGCACAGACCTTGTGTTGCAATTTTGCAGCAAAACATACGTGACAAGGTCGCAGCACTGCTGGTCCTGTGGCACGTGACCCACAGTCATAATCGTGGGAACCCTAGACCAGTTACAAGTTAGTGAGAGTAAGGGTGTAGTTTTTCCCCCTTCCAGCTTTGTGGCGCCTCCCCCAATTCTGTCCAAGACCCCTGGTTAAGGACCCCTGATTGCTTGGCTGTGGAGTGGTGGAATGAAGTAGAGACAGAGTCACCACATTGTGACCCCCCTCCCATCCAAGCAAGGTTGTTGGGAGAGGAGTCCTTTCCCGGCCATCCCCACAGGCCTAGAAAGGAGAGCACCTATGCCCCCTTTGTCTCTGAGGGTGGTGGGGTCTCCCCGAAGACCCTGGTTCAGCAGGGCTCTGCCCTGCCCAGAAATGATGCTGTGCCCTGGAGGTGGCTCCTCACGGGAGAGGAAAGCCTTGTGTGGGAAGTGAGGCCAGCAAGCTGGGCCTTTACACTTTGGTCCTCGAGCGCTGTGTTAAAGCTCCCAGGACTGTCTTGTTTGGAAACCTTGTGAGAACCTTGTTCCTTTAATAGAATCGGTACGGGAGAGAGAGCAGAGTTTTCTGCCCTGTGCATGGAGGCCCTGGCAGAACAGCAGAGCTGACGGCCAGGGAGGGACAGCAAAGGGCAGGTATGGTGGGTGGGGAAGGAAGAGAGTTTGTGTGAGCCCTGAGGGCAGGACTGCTGGGCTCACTACAGGATCTCTGGCGCCATGTGAAACTGGAGGCCCTGTGTGGATAAGAAAGGTGTGTAGCAGTGGGAGGTAGTGCTTGTGGGCAGGAAAGTGGGGTGTCAGGGCCCGAGCCTGGTTCTTCGAGCAGGGGCCTGCGGAGGCTCCTTCTCAGGGTAGGCCAGGTGATGTGCAGGAGGCATCTTGCGGTTGAGGGGAGGGCTGGCCCTGCATGAACAGGGCCTCTGCCTGCCTGCCTCCACACTGCCCCTGTGGCCATCTGGGGTGAGGTGTGCTCACCCTGCTCTGCCCTTGGAGACGCCCTGCACTCAGGTTGGCCTCCATGCCCACCTTGGGCTGTCATCTCTTGACTTGTAAAGGCAACTGTGTGTTTATTGGGGAGAATGTTGCACGTGTAATTGTGTTTTTCTTTTTTATTGTAAGATAAAAAAAATCTGAAGTTTGTCGAGCTGTTTTTCACTTTTGGTGGTATTTTGAACTCATAGTTCCTAACAAGACGAAGAAAGGAAAGGGTGTTGAATTATCACGTATAGCTCCACGCCGTTTATTTAACGCACAGAAAACAAATGTGCTTCATAGGGATAACTGAAGACTTTTTTAATTCCTTTATTTATCTGTGTATGTATCTAAGTTCTTGTTTAATGACTTTTCTTGAAGGCGGGCAAAGTTATATCGTTTTGCCTCAGAAAACGAACTCCCAGAGTGGAAGGAACGGGGCACCGGTGACGTGAAGCTCCTGAGGCATAAGGAGAAGGGGAGCATCCGCCTTCTCATGCGCAGGGACAAGACCCTGAAGATCTGTGCCAACCATTACAGTAGGTTACAGGCTTGGGTTGGGAGGCTCTTGGACCTCCGGGTAGATAGTTTCAGTACTGAGCTGGGAATCTGGGAGTGTGCTGTTGCAGTGAATGCACATTTGTGGTGTGTTTCTAAAATTTAACTAGGAAATGAGGTTTTTAGATATGCCTCTGAGCTGAGAGCATGCCTACAGCAGGGCTTCTAGAATGGGGACGTGGACCTAGCAAGACAAGAGTCTGACTGATGCAGACAGTGCAGGCAGAGTGTGTGTGTGCCACTGGTGTCAGCCTTCTAGCCCTTCGGTGTGTTCTGTCCCAACCAAGGTGTCTCTCAGGGAGGATATGGGAGGGAACACCAGTGCCTTTGGGGACTGGGGAGAAAGCGCTTGTGAGGTTCCGCAGGCAGCAGCAGGTAAGGCCCTGGACAGGCGTGGTGCATCATCCTGGGCTCACCCTGGGGGGAGGGTTATCTGGAAAGGCCACCTGAGGCCTAGTTTGTGGTAGAGAAGTTTGTCTTGGCTTCTGGCTGTTCTGCAGTGCTACAGTTGCTGTGCCTGCTTCTGTATGTTGGTGTCTTCAGAAGCAGACACATTGGGGTCGTTTCCTTGGTTCAGCATGGTGTCTGCATTTGCTGGGCGTAATGTGTGCCCAGGAGGACACAAGGAGCAACCCACGTCCTGCCTGCACAGCCTGTCTGCTCCCAGGTGCTGTCTGGCTCCAGCTGAGTTCTCAGCCCACTTTATCCTTGACGTCTTCCCTGACACCCTGTGCTTGTCCCACAAAGCCTCAGCAAAGGGCCAGGTTGTTTTGTGTGGGAGTTGTCTGTTTCTGCACAGCTGTAAGTTGGTCCAGGGCCACTGAGCACACAACTGTGTGTCCACAGCTCAGCAGGGACTGGCCTGTGCACCTCACAGGCCACTGGTGGACAACCTGGGTAGGGTGTGGTGTGACCACCTGTGCATTCAGGGACCCTCCAGCTCACTGCACGGGAAGTGAGTCTGGGTGGGGAAGGGGGAGCTAGGGGTGCAGGGGTGATGTGTGGATGCAGATGTGGGCAGGGAGACCCAGAGACCACTGAGTTTCAGGCTGTGGTGGACCGAGAGCCCCCGGGTTCTGGTTCAGGGAGTGGTGTGTGTGCACGGATCCAAAGTGAGTGTGGCCGGGGCCCCGGGATGTTCCTGTCCTCGAGGGGCTGTTCTGGTGAGTTGTCACTCGCAGGGCACAGCTCCTTTGGGACATCTGCCCGCTTGGTGCAGGATCTGTCTTCCCTCATCTCCCCTGGGGCCTGACTGGCTCCAGAGCCCGGCTGGAGATGGATGGATGTGTATATTCCAGGCCCCGCTTGTCTTTCTCCCTCATGGGGTGACTACAGATCCTGTGAGGCACAGGTATCTGTCACAGGGGCTCTGTGTCCATTTCTGGTGGCCTCATCGTCTCTGGACGATGGAAGACTGGGAGTGTCTGAAGGCCCCTGGCCTGGCCACGTGCCCTTCCTCCTGGGCTCTTCTTCTCCACTGGTCCCACTCCCACCTCTTGGTTGGCCATGCCGCCGATGGTGCGGGCACACCACACATTGGGCACCCTTGGCAGGAAAGGCCGGGCCCGCTTGCCCTCAAGCCCTGAAGTCTTTGATGCAGGGCCTCAAGGCTTCTCGGGTGGTGTTCAGGCCGTGGGCTGGGTATGAGGCAGCCCACACAGTTGAGGACAGGATAGTGCTGAGTGCTCCTAAGATGGTGGTGAAGGAGACCCTCATGGAGCTATCCTCACGGTCAGAGCAGCCACTTGTTCTTGGGTTTTGGACAGTCCTGGTTTTAGAATAAATATGGGGGGTTTTCAGAGAGGCGTGAGTTAAGAACCAGATCCCAGGAGACTTGGTCTGGGCCTGGTTCATGGATCCCAGGCCTTCCTTGAGTTGCCCAAGGCCAGGGCTTTCTGGTGGGGTGGGCTGGCCTTGTGGGGTCTACACAGCTCTCTGTGGACTTTTCTCTCCCCCAGTCACACCACTTATGGAGCTAAAACCGAACGCAGGCAGCGACCGAGCCTGGGTCTGGAACACCCATGCCGACTTCGCCGACGAGTGCCCCAAGCCAGAGCTGCTTGCCATCCGGTTCCTAAATGCTGAAAGTAAGCAAAACGGCTTTCAGACAGGGAGAGCGGGGGCTCGCTTGTGGTTACCAGCCTTAACACGTAGTGGCTCAACTGTAAGAGCAATGCTGTTGTTTTCGGGGAGAATTAGCGGGAAGTGGGAAGTTCGTGAGGGAGGCCATGTTTCTGCTGCGCAGTCTGGGGCTGAGAGGGGTGGGCCTGAGGGCAGTCTGAGCTGTGGAGCGCACGTGCCCTCAAGGCCAGGTCCTTTTTACAGCCAGAGGCATGTGAGTGCGCCAAGTAGTTTCTGAACAAGATGAGGTCACCAGTGTTTAAAAAAAAGAAAAATCAAACCTGTTGTCATCGAGTCGATTTTGACTCATATTAATCCTATAGGACAGAGTGAAACTGCCCTATAGGGTTTCCAAGGGGTAGCTGGTGGATTCGAACTTCTAACCTTTTGGTTAGCAGCCGAGCTCTTAACCACGGGGCAAGGAAACCTGGCGCTTTAGCTTCCTGTTCAAGCTATAGTTTCCATCAAGTTGTGGAAACGTGAGCCTAACCCCAGAGACTTCTCCCAACTCCTCACCCCATGCACACTCTCACGCCCCGCAGGGCTCAGCTCCCTGAGGCCAGGACTGTGGCAGTTGTGTCGATGCGGGAGGCACATTCAGGCAGGGACCCAGGAAAGCGGCACATCTTCTGCATGGTCAGCTGGTGTCGGGGGCCATGCTGACATACACAGGGCCAGGGTGACCTCTCCCTGGTTTGGGGGTCTTTTCAGTTGAATTTTCCGGCCTGGGTTTTCAAAAACTGTGCCCAGTGGGCCCTGGAGGATTCAGGTGGGTTGGGTGCGTGGCCTACTGCAGCAGCCCATTTCCAGCACAAATGACAAGTGGAGCCCCTGATGTGGAAGGACACCCACTTGGTTGGCCAAGGTCCCATATTGTTGCCTGCTCTGCTGGAGCCTGATGCTTCCATGTGCAGAATTGTTACAAAATCCAACAAAGGGGGACAGGGCCCAGCCTCGGTGGGGGACTCAGTAAATGGTCACTGCCTAGTCTGGGCATAAGCCCAGGTCACAGTCAGATGGTCCAGCTCGTCCTTAAGGTCAGCAGTTGCCATGGGATGTGCCCCTTGTGAGTCCCACGTCTTTAGACCAGTCAGAACGTGTTCCCTTCACCAGGACTTCTCCGGACTCTTAAAATGTACTTTTTTTTCTTTCCCCAGATGCACAGAAATTCAAAACAAAGTTTGAAGAGTGCAGGAAAGAGATTGAAGAGAGAGAAAAGAAAGGTGACGTGGTGCTGTACATGGGCGGTGGGGGCTGCCTTGCAGACTCACTCTGCATCCGACTGCAGTCCCAGGCCGGGTGCTTTTTCTGTCTGCCAGAGAAACCGTCCAGGCTGTTGCGAGCACCTCGGCCTGTCTGAGGCAGCGCAGCTGCCTGGGGACATGCATGTGTCAGGGCATTCTCCCTGGCACTGGTCTCGAGGCGGTCAGAGCAGGGAGCAGGGTCACAGTGCTCTAACTAGAATCCCGTCAAGAGGCTAGAGGGGCTGCAAGACGGCATCCTGCTTCATGCTGCTCACTCTGGGCCGGGCGGTGCCTGCAAGAAACTCTAAGCCCCTGAGCCCTGATGGATGTTCTAGGCAGGGAGGGAACACCCGCTTGGGTGATGCTTTCTTTGATGATAGAGGTTGTGAGAAGACATGCTCATCCTGGAGATGATCTCAGCAGAGATCCTCAACCAAGATCATGATAGAGAAGTGGCCTGTTGGCAGTTTGTCCCAAGCTGCTATTGAAGTCGTCCCCCAGGCTGGCAGTGTCCCCAAGGGTTCAAGTGATATGGAGTGAGGCATCGCCTCCAGCCCATGCCACGTATGGCACTGTCTCCACGTTTGGGCAGTCTCAAGTAAAACTTGCGAAAGCCGGAACCCATGTAAGGTGGAAACTTGTCAGAGAAGGAAAACTCAAACATTTTCCACTAACTAGAGAGTGATAGGGAAGTGGTGACTGCACCCTGTCAAAGGCAGAAAACTTGCAAGACCTGGAAAAACAAGGCAGTCCCATCAATTTCTGGCTCTCACAGATTTCACTGTAGTTGTGCTTCTGTTTTCTTACTGTGTTCACTGATTATCTTTTAGCAGGATTGGGTAAAAATGATAATGCTGAAAAAGTGGCTGAAAAGCTAGAAGCTCTTTCCGTGAAGGAGGAGAATGAGGAGGCTACTGGGACCAAGGTGTCTGAAGGTGAAGAGGCCAAGGAGAAGACTGAAGAGAAGCAATAAACGGTCTTATATTATTTTCTTTTCCCTTTCCTTTTTCTTACTTCTTTTTCTTTTTTTTATCCCACCCAAGCTTTTTGATTTATTTTTATTCTGTTTTGTTTACAAGGGACTTTATATAAAGCAGTTCGAACTCCAACATCCAGATTGTTTTTTTCTAAGTTTTGTCCTATTGAAGACAATTTCAGAAAATCCATTCCCCAGTCATGAAAATGTACTGTGCTAACTTTCTTTTCCATAGTGGAAACACTTATTTATAGTCATCAAAAATAGAGAATAAAAACCACATTTGATAACTGTATCAGAGGTCAGGACTGGTGTGTGCATGGCCCAGCACTGGCGGCTCGGGTGCCTGCATGTCCACATGCCTGTGGGCAGTGTCTCTACTTGGCTGTCTCCTGGGAGTGTCGCCTCTGTGCTAGGTGCTATCATCAAAGATGGGTTCTCGGGAGACTTGTTTGGGCATCACCTAGGTTGTACATGCTGAGGCTTTCTCTGGGCTTTGGGAGGTTGTGGCACCGTTGGCATTTGGGGCTGTGTTGCCTGCTGTGTGTCTGGGCCTGGTGCTAGTGGGGCAGCTGGGGCCGGCCCAGTGGCTGTAAGTGGCCATTGGCCTTTGAGGGCCCCAGTTAGCGGTGTTGGGCCCGTGTGCTAGGCTGAGGCTGCTGGGGGTATGAGGGTTGGAGTTTGCTTTGGCCTGAAGGTCCAGAGGTTGATGGCTACTGCTTTGCCATGCAGAGAGGAGCAGGTAGACTTTATGGGAAGAGAGAGACCACTAGGATAATGGAGGTTGGCAGAGGAATGTGCTGGCTGCCTGGGTGAGTCTCTGGCCTTGGCCAGGCCGTCTTTGGTGGGCCCTGGTGGAGGAAAGGGCCAGCCCCACAGCACACGTATCCGGTCTGGTGCAGTGTCCACAGCCTTCGGTCAGAACCCTGTCAAGCACCTTACCACCTCTGCCCAGGAATGTTGACCACACATGCTGCGGCCTCCAGCATCCTCAGAAAAAAACCATCTTGCCTCCTGCACCTCGGTATCTGTCTGGGCCCCTGACCTCCTGGACTTGAAGTCCAAATTCAGCAGTGTTAGAATGATGAATGCTTTGGATGGCTTTAAATAAAAGGACGTTTTCAAGTATCCGAGTGGGTTAGTGGTATTGAGGGTTTGTCTCTAGGCATCTTCAGTTGGAAAGTGTGCTTTTCAGTGTCGTGGAGGTGTCTACAACACCATGGAAGAATGTGTGCTGGGCAGGCTGCACTTGGAGGGTGTTTCTGAGGAACAGGCTGGCCTGCCTTCCAGTGAGGGGTGCTGCAGACGGGAGAGCAGGAGAAGGCCTCGCTTAGGGCAGATGTCCCAGCGGTGTTCCTTGGGGCTGTGAGCCATCAACAACTACCAGAGGTGCTTCACAGTGTCTGCCTGCTCCACCTAAACCTCACTTCTGGTTTAAACTCCAGTCCTTGTTCCTCTGGTGGAATGTGCTCCCAAGGAAGCCACTCTTGGTTTAAAGAGCAAAACTAAAGACTTCACTGGCCATTTTTGTTGGGCTTTGTCCGCCGTGGGCCTAGCAGCGTGGTTCTCCTTGCCTCCTGCAAGCCGGTGTTGGCGCCGTGTCTTCTTACACAGAAGAGGTGTTGAGGCTTCCACATAAATGCTTTGAGGCGCTGCTGTCTTAATGACATGGAATTGTGATGCCACATCCTGCAAATTTTTATAACAGCCGTGCTCCCTGGAAGATTTGTGCCATGCCACAAACCAGCGGGAACTCAGGTTCGGGGCTCGGGGTGTGTTGTGTGTAAAAGGCAGCATCTCAAAGGGCCCTATCTTCCTAAGGGAAGCCCTGGGCTAGCAAGTCAAACACCCCTGTCAGCAGAGAATAGTGGTTGTAATATTCTGCCTTTGTTTTGGATTCCAATAAAAAAATAAATGCCACATGGTATAAACTGCAGGCTGACTTCCTTCATGTTGGGGTGGGGAAATGTGTCTCCAGGGAGGGGAAACCCTGACAGTAAGTAGTCCCTTGGAATGACTGGGGGACACGTAGTCTTATAAATCAGACTGCATTGCAGAGTGCATCGGAGGGGCAGCTTTCTCACATTCTAGAATGGCTTGCAGAAAGGGGGACACAGAGGCAATATAGGTCGTGTCCAAGGGTCAGGACTCATGGGGCACCTAGTAGACCCAGGACAAGCAGGAAGGACTCGGCCCAGTGTGCTCGCAGGTGGGTTCTCTTGGGCAGAGAGGCAGTGATGGACCGGAAATGTCCAAACAGGTATCTGACATTCTGTAAAGAACGGGATTGGAAGTGTGGTTGATGGGCAGCCCTTCCATGCAGGTCTGTTGGACTACAGATTGGAAATGCTGCTACTTTCAGCTGAGTTTTCCTTTTCCCAGGATTCATGACTCGTGGCGAGAGAGAGGGCTTCTGAGTTCAGCAGCAGTGTTGGGTGATGCTGACGGAAGTGAGGCCCTACCCTGGGGCCACGGTGCACAGCTTGGCCAGCCCACTGTTACTTGGTCCTGGTCATGACCCTGGATCAGAAAGGCAAGAGCCGTGGCCTCACACTGTGTTCTCTGTCTCTATAGCCAGGCCCACCCCACCCCCACTGCTCAGGCAGGCTGCCTTGAAGGAGAGGGTGCTCACCATGTGGGTATGAGTGCCCTTCCCAGGGCCCTCAGCCCAGCCGAGAAAGGTGATCGCACCCTGGCACCCTGTGCCTCTTTCCCATGGGAAGCCCACTGGGAGGATGCTCCTCATGGGTGGGCCTGGGTCTACGCTGTGTGACCCCCTTTCTGGGGGCCTGGAGCTGCTATGTGCCAGGCTGCAGGAAGGGTAGGAGCAAGTATGAGGCCGTGTGGTGGCACCATTGGCTGGAGTGTGCCATCTCCAGCCTGTTTTATGCGAGGACCTTTGATTTTGTGTTCCCTGGGCCTCAAGGACATCTGTGGATGGTCTTTGTTCACCTTTGTGTTCTAGGACCCCTTCACTACCTCAGAGCCCCCCATCAGTGCAGGTCTCCTTTAGTGGGCAACTGTGGCAGTCCTCAGGGAATGCACAGGAGGGTGCCCACCACGTGGAGGTGACAACTGGGGGTGTCAAGAAAAATGCATCACTTTCTGTCAAGTGGCTTTATGGACCTGGTTACACCCTGATCCCGCGGGTTGGCTCTATGGGAGGAGCTGGGGCTGCGTCCTTCATGAGGCCCAAGTTAGGCAAGGAGGGGCCCCAGGACTCCTGGAAGTACTGGGGAGGAGTGGCTTCTGGGGCCACGTGGGTTCCAACCACAGAGGAGCTGATGCCCCGGGACCAGGGAGAGCAAAGGTCCCATGGGTCTGGGTTTTAGAGCAGAGGGTTTCAGGGCTTCAGGGTATGTTGGCGGGGCTAAGGGACAGATTCCCTGACCACAGGGGAACGCCTAGGCAGAGCCAGCTTGAAGGCCGAGGGTTCTCCATCCACAAGACACGGAGTTGCAGGGGAGGGCGCTGCCTGGTGGAAAGGGGTGAGGTCCAGCAGGCTCCCTGCAGGTGTCCCCATCGCCCCACGGGGGTCCCGTGGGTCCCTATCCCCGCAAGTCCTCCGGTCCACCTTAAGCGGGGGCAGTGGTGGGTGGGATTTCCTGCTGGAGGCGGGCCTGTGCCGCCGGGTCCCTTCAGGGCGGGGGCTTGGTGCCCATGCTTCCTGAGCGAGGATAGGGGCGCTCACTCTGGCGTTTTGGGTCTCCCACCCACACATGCCCTCAAGCACCACCTTGCAGCTCGGGCAGGACGCAGCGACCCCCTCCTGGCTTTCCCTTCCCTGCCAGGGCGCACCTGGGTCACTTGGTCCAGCGAGTGTACTGAGAGCCGTGAGCTCTGAAAGGCTTCGGTTGTCAGGTGGGCAGGGGATGAATAACAAAGGGGTCCCTGCAGTGTCACTCCCCCGGTCACCCTGGTGAACGCTAGGGGCCTCCAGTTGAGGGAGGTCTCCCTTGCCCAGGAAGGAATAGCACAGGGCAGAGGGGACCGGCGGACCCCGGGGACGGGACCGGCGGACCCCGGGGACAAGCGCGGCTTAGTTTATGAGCTGTGAGGTCTACACACTAGACCCTCGAGGGGCCCTGCATAGGCCACAGCACCGCCGGCACGCGCGGGGATGTCCACCTACGAGGCTTGGGGGTGTGCGGGGCGCGTGCCTTCAGAGAGCCGCTGGCACTCGCCTGGCTGTGGCGCCCAGGACGAGGAGTGACCCTGCGATGGTCCCTCAGGAGCCGCGGCCCTTCGTGGAGGAAACGGCAGCGGGCGGACTCCCCAGGGCAGAGGTCCGGTTACCGCGCGGCCGCCCGGGCGGCATGGCGCTGGGTTACTGGCCAGGCTCAGCCCCGCACCCGCTGCTGGAGGACAAGCGCTGTCCGCAAGCACCGACTGGGGCGGAAAGCGCGTGCGTGGGGCGCGGGGCGGGGCATCGCGGGGCGGGAGCGCGGAGCGGGGGTGGAGGGTGTCCCGGAGCGGGTCCGCAG